TTTTTATAGTAATAAAATCAATTTAAATCTATAAAAATCTTATTTTCTATATATCTAACTAAAAAGACATGAGGTTCTTTCTCATGCTTCTTTTAACTACTAATTAATATTTATAGTTTCTTTTTATAAATCATGTGTATAGATAGAAGGCCAATATAAATATTGGCCTTAGTAAATATTCCTCAATATTCAATAATAAATAATAAATACTAAACCAACTAAGATAATTGCCTCTAAGACTTACTAAGACTCCATTTCTTTTATACTAATATTATTCTCCTTCATTTAACATCTTCTAAGCACATTTTTACCTAAAAATTGTAATTTTGGCACTCTACATGCATTCTTTTGTCCTAAAATAACTAGTGAGTCAATTTGATGGTGCACAAAAAGTTAGCTTCCATATGGCATTGTGACACATTTTGGTCATATGTGTGGTTTTTTGATGACAAGAGAGTAACCATCATATTCATTCTTCTAGAATAAGTTAGATAAAATTAACAAAATGAAGCATTTTTGAGACAAAAGCCTTCACTTTGTTCCGTATTCTTTATTCTTTAAAAATCCTATTTGTGCATGTGCTAATGTGCTGTTGGAAGCATCTAGATATCTTGGAAACTAAAATTTGTCAAATCAACTTGTGTTTATTTGATGTCGTCATCAAGTTTCCTGAAAAAATGTTATTAGAATGCTAAATATTTTTAGTTTTATAAAGACCTGGAAAGTATTAATGATTGTTTAAGTTCTTTATAAATGTAATTATATGTGATACAAACAATCCAACAAGCTGGCTTTGGTTTTTAAAAGATTGGATCTTCTTTATTATTATCATTTTTTAAATTTAAAATTTTTTTTCATGTAGATTAACTATGCCATTTTCTATATAGGTGATAGTTTTAATATAGTTCATATAATGGTTGCAATGTGTCACTTTTTATTTTATTTTGTACATAGTACATTATTTTCATAATTCTTATTATTTTTGATGTTATCTATATATAAATATTTAATTATTTGATCTTTTTTATGATATTTTTTCAATTATATTGTATAATTCTCATAGAAGATTAGACATTTAGTAATATGTTTATTGTCAATAAAATTCAATCCTACTTCTTTGCTTCTCCTTGTTAAAAGCAGGCACCCATTGTCGGCATCTCAGGTACAAAGTCCTAATGAGCCTTCTTCTTGCAAGCTCTTGCCTCTGTGGTTTGATGAGCCTCTTTGGGCACTCTTTGCAACAATGGACAAGGCTAGCAAAGATTTAAACTTTACTTTTCTTTCAATATATATATATATATATATATATATAAGAGAGAATGTTAAATAGACCCATCCATTCCAACCATTGTAAAATGAAAAATAATTAAATAGATGGATTGATTTACTAAAAGCGTAGGTCTATTTAACATTCCCCTCTATATATATATATATATATATACCTTTGGATAGGCAAAGGTCAACACCTGAGTTTCTTAGCACATCTTTGCATCATCTATGTCTTCATTTTTGCATGTGGATGCTCTCCTCACCTTGTACAAAGAAAACCTAAGATGCAACTTGTTGAGAAACAAACCTAAGATACAACTCATCAAGATTGTGGAATCTCTCTTACCAAAATGCATTTGAGACTTGTATCATGATTACCACATTCTTCATCATGGATGGGTCTATTTAGTAAAACCAGTCTAGGTATGTTCTTTCATTCAAGATTTACGTCAGCAATCATTTCTATTACATAGTTTCTATATGAGAAATATGAAAGCTGGGGACTGAGATTCTCTTCAAGTGCTATGGCAACCAACCTGTATGACATTAGTTAACTAAGAGGAGGTTGTTTCGAAACTTTATAAAACTTCATCAAGATTTCTGAGTTGGTTGATCAGGCTTGCTAGGAGCTGGTCAACCAGAGGTGATTGTTTTGACTTCAATTTTGAGCTTTTTTTGTATAAAGAATGCATCCCTCCCAATTCCAATGGTGGATTCCATCATGTTCCTGGTGCCTTTTGTGATTTCCATGAAGGAAGAGTCTAAGGAGGAACATGAAAAAATGGCTAAGTTCAAATGTTATGGGCTAATCCAGGAGCACACTCTGGACTATGCTGCTTGCATGAAGGCCATGTACTTCAAGTCTTGTAAAATTGATACAAACCATGTTCCACAGTGTAGCTCAAGATTAAACATTGAAAGAAGTGCTACTATCATTTCCCTCAAATAAAATTTATTGATGATTGACATTTGATAAATATGCAAGAAAATGGCAAGCTTCCATGTCAAATATTCAAGAGCAGTTCTGTAAGTAACAGTTCTGTGAACAACATGTTGAAGTGTAATGTTGACATTTATGCACCAACAAGCTTGCTACCTTTGGAAGAAGACTCATCATGGGATGATAGAAATGTAGAAACCAGCACCACTGGGAAATTTGCTCAAGATTGGAAGGTCAAATTCAAAGTTGAAGAAAACAACAATTACAATTGAAACCACAAGCATTGGCATTTAGGTTCTTTAAGTTGATTTGCAGACTCAGCAGCCAAACCTAATGTTTTATCAGTTCAAACTTGTATCATAAGCAGATAACCATGGGAGGAAAAAATTACTTGCTGGCTAAAAGAAGAAATTCTGAGCTTCTTATTGTTCTACAAATTAGAGTTGCATGCACAAGCAGCAAAACTAACATATAAAATCATCATACAACTGCTTGTTCACACCAAAGAATTTCACATGTCATTTCTTATGGTGTCATTTTCACTAAACAAAATCCTAGCTAACCAATGCTCACCTACTCACAATGGAAAGAAGGGACTTGGAAAGTAGTTCTTTATATGCATACATACATGTGCTCACAGTACATAGAAGCGTGGCACAAGATAAATTAGGTGGATCATGCCTCACAAACAAGGCCAAATTGAATAGTAATTGGAGGGGGGCAGAAGCATCTCATGAGAAAGGGGAAGGATCCCACACATGGGATTCTTTGAGTGGCCATTGAGAGATTCCTGGTGCAAGGTGTTGGCTTAGAGGCAAATTGTTGACTACATGGTTCCTCCAACTAAGAATGTTATTCATTTGGGTGCCAGCCAGGAAATGAGAACATTCAACTATGGTTCTGGAATTCACTAGAATGGGTCACGAATATTTTGCAAGAACCATTGCCAAATTGGTGAAGGCAAAGAACAGTGAGATGTAGAAGAAGAAGAAGAAGAAGAAGAAGGGATTGTTTGGGGGATGAAGAGAGTGAGAAAGGTTTGCATGCAACCAAATAGTGTTTGAGACCATGGGCTTGAGCCAATTTCCACCTTTGATTCATTTGTGGGAGTGTGTCCCATGGATACCATTTGCAGAATCAAACAGAATTCTGAGATATCTGGCAGAGTTGAGTCTTGAAGCTTGAAAATGGATGCTTGATTATATTCCTATGAATTGGCACAAAATATGGTATAGATGCTGGCCCTTTTGAATGGTATAGTTTAGCCAAGTAGACATTGCCTTTGGCAAACATCTTTTCCTTGTTTTGTGCAATAAACTTACCTCCTTTTATATAATGAAATATAATTAAAAATAAATAAAAATAAAAATCCAAGAAATCAGTCTTTTTCTTTTGAAGGGTCTAAGTGGAGGGGCCATTTTCATAAAAGAATATGGCAAACTTGAAAGCTCATGGTTCCTGATTCATTGAGAAAAAAAGAACTGCAAATTCTGTTGGAATGTTGAGAATAGTTGCTTACATTCCATCAACATGATTCATCAATGCTGCAGTTCAGCAGATATTATTTTTATTTTTTATTTTAATATTAACAGCTTCTGTTTTGGTGTAATAATTTACTGTGTAATGATGCCTTAAACCAGTCCTGAGGAATGTGAATACAAATTCTATGCTTGCCCTAATTATCATAAGAAACATAATCAGCAGTACAGGGTACATGTATAACTGTTGTCCAATTCTTTTACAGACTCTAATAAATCCAATCCACCAAATGCTACAGTAACATATATTTAGTATTGTATAAAACAGATCTTATGACCAAAGTGTTTTATAATTGACAAAGTTGTTTGTGACAGTGTGTTAAGCTGAGTGTTTTAACATTTGTGAAGGAAGTCAATCATGATGTTCTACTTGATCAATTTTGAGACTATCCATGGATTTATTAGAGGTTCATGATCTTGCAGCTAATGGTGGATGTAACTGGTGTTGGAATTTGAAGTAGATGTAGCTTAAAAAAATGGTTAAGAGAAATCAATACAAGAAGCTTTCTATTGATTTGACTAAGTTCACTACTTGAAATATTTTACCTCATAATGAACATCAAAACTTTCACCTAAACCTACTCTAAATTCACACATAATAATGATGAAATTTCTTAAATCAAAAACTTAAGGTTTTTCAGCTATCTAAGGAGGGTTGGAAAAAAAAAAAATGGTGGAGAAATACGGTTTTGATGTGCCCCAAAAGAAAAAAATTACAAAAGACATGGTGGTTTAATTAATATAAAATTTCAAAGAGCATTACACTTTGAGCCCCTGAACTAATACATAGACTCAGCCATAAGCATCCATAAAAACATACTAAACCACCACCTCTATCACACTAAACCACCAACTTCATCCTTGTAAAATTTGTCAATCATTGGTGGACTTGGAATGGATTTGGAATCTTTCTGTAAGAAGTATGGTTTTTTTTTGGGTTGGTACAAGGGTGGCTTCTGACAAGGTCTATGGGTTGGTTTAGGGCGTGACACAGTGTAAAGTATTTTGGACGTTAAGTAGAGAGAAGGATAAAGCATACACTCACATCATGGAGAGATCTTAAAACAATTCTATAATAAGGATGGACCTCCATCCACTCGAATTTCGGGATGAATGAATATAAGGTAGAAGAGATGAATGGCATCGTCTGACACGGCCTCTGCGGCGGGCAGTGGAGAGCGACGGGCAGTGGAGAGAAAAAATCAGAACTTCCTCGATATTCTCACCGATTTGAAGAATTCTTACTTTCCCTCATCGTCTTCAACCTGTTCCCGGGGGATTTGCCGAACTCTCCATAGCTGCGGCCTGGTTGGTTTCCAAGCATATTAAGCCGCTTGCCATTGCCTCATTGAATCAGCTTCTCATCGATCCTTCTCCTCTCGTATTTTGCATCCTCCTTTTCTACTACATTGTCGGGTCATTCGTGGTTACCTTCACGCTGACTCTCACTGCGCAGCAGCAGCAACGCCATTATGTCCACGCGCCGTTGGCTGTGAACCATTACAGCATTTCATTGCATCTGCTTCAGCACGGACCGCTTCTTAAAGGTGGACACTGATTCTAAGATTCTCCTGGCTTGCCGTTATACTCTCACTACTAGTGCTTCACAGCTTGGTGAACCAACCGGCCAGTTGCTCCTGCGTTTGGTCCTTCTCGTGACTGCATCTCACTCCCTTCGCCGAGTCTGAGTTTTGGTGTTTCAGAGACGACGATCTGAGATTGTAGTAATTTTGTTGCTGTCAGAGGATTTTTACGTACGATTCTTGTTGTGGCTACCAGGAAATAGTGACGGTCGTGGCCAGTGTTCTTGCAAGAACTCAGGTGTAATGTCCTGCTCCTACCTTCGCAGGCCTGGAGTTGTTGTAAATAACAAAATGTCATGCATCTGCCTTTAAAAGAAGTATCATCTTGTGATCCGTTGCTGGTACGCAACACATATTCAAGAAGAATATCGTTTTGATTTCGCTGAATCGGTTGAGCTCAAGCTATTGTAGGCAGCATCTACCTTGAAGGCCTGCTCTGTGGATCTTCGTGATCTGCTTTGACTCCTCCGTGTCGGCTTTTTTTTCATCAAAAGTTCGACCATGGGAGCTTGGGCGGTTGCTTTTCACGGTGGAGCAGGGATGATTGCGAAAGAAAAGATGACTGCCGATTGGAAGAAGCGAACTGAAGTCGCTTTATACGAGATTTTAGCAATAGGCATTGCTGCGCTAAAAAATAACCTCACTGCTGTAGAAGCCGTAGAGCTTGTGGTGAGTGGCATCCTCTAACATTCTCTGTCATAATTTCATAATTGCAATTTCAGTTGCGTGATGTATCTACTGGAAGTCGTTGACCAGTTTTTCTCGACAGCTCATTGAAAGTCAAAGTTAGTTGAAGCGGGATTATTATGTTCAGTGGAGCGCAGACAACAAATTGTTATGTATTGAGGAACTCTCGCAAATGTTGCTGCTATGTTTCTCTTGCTGCACTCCCCCGCAGATAGGCTGGTGACCAGTTAAACTTGTGAAGCGCCATAATTTTGTTTCCTTATTTGTTATCTTTGTCATAGCAGTTTTCTTAATTGGAACGTTTGTATTGAGGGATGTGATTGTAGCCTGTTGCCGCTTGCAACATATTGAAAGATTTGCGGGATGGTGAAGAGTAACGATTGAAATGTTTTTCAAGCTAAGTACAGTAATATTAACACCTGTGAGTAGGTGAGAGCATTGGAAGAGAACACGCTGTTCAACGCTGGCAAAGGGTCTGTGCTGACAAATCAGGGCACCGTAGAGATGGAAGCGAGTATCATGGACGGGAGAACAAAAGATTGTGGTGCTGTTTCTGGTCTTTCCACTGTAGTTCATCCAGTCTCGCTAGCTCGCCTAGTGATGGACAATTCTCCTCATGTCTACCTTGCCTTCAACGGAGCAGAAGAGTTTGCGAGACAGCAGGTCATAACAACACTCTTGTGCTTAGATTGCTCAAGTAAAAGCTGCTTGAATTGTTTGGTTTAGCAGATGTTGAAGTTGTTGAGATTCTTGTGAACATATCTTTAACTATTTCGAAACAGCAGTCCTATTTCGAGCCTTATTTTGTTTTATTTTATTTTCATAATACCCTTTATTTAACGTAGGATCAATTTTCAGTAACCAATGTTTACTTCATCATCCACCAGTTCTCGTTATTGAATGGCAGAGAAATAAAAGACTTCATTACTACTGCGAAAGTTGATTTTCTAACCTTGCTCTGCCTTTCAGGGAGTTGAGATGGCAGACACAGAAACCTTCATCACGGAGGAGAACAGACAGAAGCTGGAGATGGCAAAGAAAACAAATTCTATCGAGGTGAAAAACTTCTGGATAGAATTGAAATGAAATTGTGATTGCTCTGGCGTAATGAAAATTATTTGATGCAACGTCGGATTAGAGCAGAACATCTGATCTGTAAATATTCTGTAGAGCCAGATGAAGCGAACATACTAACAAATTGATTTATTGCTATTGATGCTCATATTAGTTTTCGCGGGTGATGATTGTGCAGTTGGACCTTTGCGATTACACACCAGGTTTAATTAATAGTAGGGGCGATAAGTTCTCCTGTAACAACGAAAATGGCATCGTCCACCCTGATCATGAGCCTGTTGTGCACAGGGAACATGAGTATGCTAAGACAAACGGTCGTTTTGACTGTGGTCATGTGCATAGGAAAAAAGGTGCTCTTTATCAGGCTTGTAAGGCAGAATTTGAAACCGTAGGTTGCACTGCAGTGGATTCTTTCGGGAACTGTGCGGCAGCTACGTCCACAGGCGGCCTTGTGAATAAAATGTCTGGGCGAATCGGTAAGCAATTCTTTGTAACTTCTTTTTATGTATTCCTTTTTCATTTGAATCTTCAAATGCATTAATGACGGCATCAACTCTGAATTTTGTCCGCAATGTTCCCACTGTTTAAGCCACTTCTTGTGTCGAAGCACTATTTGACTTTCTAAAGCCTTGTGACACAGGTGATACGCCCATAATTGGAGCGGGAACGTACGCAAATCACCTCTGCGGAGTGTCAGGAACAGGGCGAGGGGAAGAATTCATCAAACACACAGTTGCAAAAGAAGTTGCAGCCATAATGGAATACAAGGATCTTCCCCTTGGCAAGGCTGTGTACAAAGTAGTCCATGAGAAGCTGCCAGAGAATATGGGAGGACTGGTTGCAGTCTCTGCCTCAGGCGAAGTAGCCATGGCTTTCAACACTCCAAGTATGTTCCGAGCAAGTGCACAGGAAGGAGGAGATCGTATGATTGGAATTTGGTAAACAAGCATGTCCAGATTATGCAAGAAGCAGTTCTCATCATGTTCCTTGTTCAGTTTGGGGCAAGCTCATGATGATCACCTCGAAGAACAACCTATGGCGTTGTAAAGGCCGTCTCCATGCGAGGGACTCTCCATGAACAATTTTCATTGAGCTAGTGAACAATTGTACAGGTACATATATGCTTTATCATCCCTCCAGTTGAAAGGCACTGGCTCGGATCAACGCATGGGACAATGAATAATTCTGCGTTCGTGGTTGGGGGACACTAACGATCACTCTCAACCAGCGCTCATGCTATCCCTCAACCCCTCATTGAAAATGGCGATGTAATTTTCTTGTATAGAACTCATCGTGCAACGTCATTTGGGGATGGCCAAGACGTTCATGTACATACCACTAATATACTAGTTAAATATGAGTGTTATTTTTTACTCAGTAATGCGCAAGTTGTTTTCGTAACAACGCAGCATTTAGAGCCCACTTCATCATGCTATTCCAAATGAGACCATTCATGCATGTGCACATGTTGTCCTGTTTTGAGCAACATAACATAACTTCTGGTAAATATGTTCCAATTTAATCGATGGTGCACAAAATATCTCATCAATGGGGTACTAGTCCTATATAATTTGCCAGGTAGCAACTGTATACAGAAATGTGTGCCGATGAGATAGCCACTTCAAAATTAAATTTGCTTTTGAAGAGACTGCTTATGATCAAGAAAACGTGAGAAATATTCAGTTCGAGATAAGTATACTCTCTTGTATATATCCTTTAATTTTTAAGATCTAAAAAATTAATGAGTAATCATTACTGCAGATCAAAATGATGAAGTATCATGTAAATTGCAATTTGCACACTTGAAATTTTTTAAGTACAAAATATTCTTTTGTCTTTGCAATGTTTTGGAATGGTCACAACTTTTCAATACCTAAGGGTTTGAACCGTTTTATATATTTATTTATTGATTGTTGATTGCACGAAATTCAACATTTCATTTAATTTGGTTGCATGTACATCAAGCCAAAAAATAAAAAAAATCAATGAAGCAATTTTTTCAAGCACAAATTTCATATAAAAATCACTACACGAAAAACTCTGACTGCATGTGTTTTCACCTTGAACATTCAACATCATGCATCATTAGAATCATCACATACGTCAGATAATTCTTTTTCATACACACAGACATCCATCACATTTTTCTCACACAAATTCCATGTAACAGGTGAAAGTGATAAATCTCCTGCGAAATCAACAAACCATAATGACTACTTCACAATATCTTACACCATTCAAGTTTTTTAAACTCGTCTGAAAACCCCTCATCTCTCTCTCAAACAAACACACACACACACACACACACAAACTATTCGAAGATCATGGCTGAAGAAAAAGTCGGGGAAGCAGGGAAGCAAGAGGAAACGGCAGTGGAGCGGCAGCCATGGAGCGAGTACGATTTTTTCGAGAGAAAATCGGAAGAAGAAGAAGGAGAAGGCGGAGGACATTGGAAGCAATACACACCCCATCAGCTTGGCTTCATCTTCACACAAGGCCCCCCGGAGTTGCTGGATCGAGCGTGGCGCCGACTGGACCGCGGCGTCGCACTCTCCGTAGACAGCCTGCACGGAGATGCACTGCAGCACTGGAATCCCAGCCAGCTCCGCAACCCCGTCACGCGACAGTACCACAGCTTCTCCCCCGCCCTCGTCGACACCCAGTCTGGCCTTTTCCAAGTGCTCGCCTACTTCCCTCCTCTGCACAATCGCAAGCGCACGCCTGGATGCTGGTTCACTATGCCAAGCTTGCAGTTCCTCCCCCTTGGCATCCACAGCGTCATCGGCGGCGACGCAGGTTTGCTTGTCTGCGACGGAGGAATGGTGTGGACCGGCGTTCTCGACCATGACGGTGAACCATCGCCACTTACTAGCCGGTGCCCGCTTGTGCTTGGAGGTAGATCAGTTCCAATCAAACCCAAGGACTGGTCACGAGGTTCCTATCTGGGGGGGCAAAGCTCTTTGTTGATTTGCAACCCAGTCACTCAGGAGTTCATGTATTTGCCGCCGTTTGTGAGAACCATGTCATTGAATGCCAAAGCTGCGTGCATCAGATTTGTAGGTTTTGCGGAATTGGAGCCTCCGCCGCTGCCGCCGTCGCCGTCGCCACCGCCGCCAGAACCTTCTGAAGAGAAGCTAGATGCGCCTCTTGCTAGACACTTAGATGTAGGTGTTGAGGCAGTTGTGCAGCGAGCTTCCAGAAGAGGTACGATATTAGAGAAACAACTGTTGAGGAAAATGAGTATACCTGGAAACGCCGCAGCCATGGGAAGAAGAACCAGTCGGCAAGCGAATTTGGATCATGAGTTGAAAGAACTGGGTGCTGGAGTTGCACTTCATCCATCCTCGCAACAAAGCTTGTCTGTTCATTCGTCGGACACTGTGCAAGTTCCAGTAGTAGGTGAAGAAATCATGGAAGGACCATTTCAAAGGTTGTGGAGGTTGTACTTCGAGTGTTTTGGACGAGTCCCGGAGATCACTCCTCCTCCGACTCGTCACTACGTTGTTGTTGTTATGGGGTGTAAACAAGAAAGGAAATTCGATGAGTACCAGGAGAACCAGCTTGTGTGTTGTGTGTACAAGTCCAAAGAACAGGGTAGATGGTCCTATACTCGTCCAATTCCATGTCCTGCGAAGACTATGCCGGATGATGTTGGTCGAACAAGTCTTGCAATGGTAACAAGTCTTGCAAATGAAGAGTGGATGGCAGTCTGCTTTGGAGCTCTTGCACTCGGAAATATCAAGGAAGTTATGGATAACGAAGATCGAAAGTATAGAGTTCCACGAAAAAATGATAAAACTTGCGTCGATCTTTCCGAAAATCCTGCAATATTCTTTGTGTCGGTGGTTCCAGAAGATAATGTAGCAATTGTATTTCCGTTCACTCCGGCTGGCTACACAGAGAAGGAACTAGCTTGCCCGGTGGTACTTCAACCATTTGGTGTGAAGAGCCCTGAGATTGTTGTTGCAATCACAAGAAAACCATATTGGGCTGATCGACTTATTATTTTCCAAATAGAGTTTACACACAATCCAATCACTGAAAATCCTGTACCAACAGGCAGGTTTTTATGGATCAGCGAGACACCACCATGTGTTTATCATCATTTATTCTTCACAGAAAAGCATGCAAACAAACCATTTGAATCGTCGGCAGGAAATGGTATGATTTGCATTAAATCCACAGATGGTCAAAGACTAGGATTATACGATATGTACACAGCAAGATGGTGGATAGAAGACTTCCACCAATTCAGACCATGCAGACGGAAAGAAAAACCGTTCCACCTCATGGACGTTTCATCGTGGGAACCGAACTTCCGACAAAGGGTGCAGTATGCCTCAAAAGACACTGATGGTAGAACAGATCCTGAACCCGCAGACGTAGACGGCGCTGAGGCAACCTTATAAAATCAAAACTACTGAAATGAAGTGTATTATACATCAGCACGGATGGTATTCAGCATTCTTAAATTTTTAAAAATCGTTTGCAGCAGGCCACGATACACATGCTGTGATTTCTGGCTTTTCTTCGACCTCCTTCATATTGCAGAGCGCTTATTCTGAAGCTTGTATCAGAATAAGCCCATTCTTACCGGCTTCACAATACTCACAAATGTGGATAACTCAGACAAAACCGGAAAGGATTTCCAGATATCTAAGTCCTTAGGAGAAAATTTCCTGGCAGAAATGGAGCGAAGCGAGACCCTAAATAAGCACCAATTGCTTCTGAGTCGTATATTAGCACATCGCGCGGGTGTTCAAATGAAGTCTAGAAATATGAGTCATATGAAGCAATGTGAACCCAACTAGATTCACAACTTGAAGGCTTCAACCAAGCACAAACACTAAAAAGTTTACATGGATTGGCTTAAAAGTATACATGGATATACTTAGAAGTATACATAGAATGACAAGAAGATCCATCAAGGCATCTAAGCTAGAATAAATGAATGTGGTAGAACTTTCTCATAAAGTATTCAAGACTTAATTAAATCATGAAACAACCAAATTTACAGTACCATACTTTTGAATGGATGTAATATCATGTGGATGGCAAAAAAAAGAATGCAAGATCTAAGCATGGAATTATCATTCTACAAAACACCTAAACTCCACCTCATTATTTGGTTATTTACGATCCAAACTAGGATACAATAGCCAACCAAGCTAGATATATGATCCAATATGTGATAAGATGTTCCATGATTTGCCCCTGTAACTAAGTAGATAGCATTTTAGATGCTCATGTACTTGCATCCATCCGCTCAAACCATTTAACCGTTGCTCTTGACTTACCCGGAACGTGTGAAATAGAACAGATAAAAATAGCTTTCTTCATGATTTGATAGGAAAAAGAGCCAACCCCCCTCGTGTTGCAGAAAGAAAAGACAGAATCCATGTAGCAACGGCAGTTGCTCTTGGCTTGGAGTACGCAACGTGATAAAAGCACGATGACGATGATTTCATGCACGTCGGGGGATAATGGAAAAACTGAAAAAAACTGACAACGATCTTTTCCCAATATCCAGCAATACTCTTTGTGTCGGTAATTTCAGAAGATGATGCAGTAACTGTGTTTCCATATACTCCAGTTTTCTTCAAAAGGCAGGCCTCAAAGAGAAACGAACTAGCTTGCCTGGTGGTACTTCAACCATTTAGTGTGAAGAGTCTTGATATTATTGTGGCAATTACAACAAAACCATCCTGGGAAGATCGACTCAATATTTTCCAAACAGAGTTTACACACAATCCCTTCACTGAAAATCTTGTACCAACAGAAGAATACACTGAAAAAGCAATTCCTGAGAGCTTAGTATTTGCATGTGCAAGATTGCAACCTAAGTTTCCATTGGATGATAACACGCAGCTCAAAGGTAAAGTTAATTAGTTGGTCCAAAGAAAATCTGATGTGAACCCAACCTCGCAAACACCCCTCGCATTGCCATACACCGCCGCATTTGCCAAAAGAAAGAGGAGGAAATTGCAACTTCCTCCTTTCCAACGAAGCGTGGCTGCTGCTTACACTGGTATTAGGACTGGTTGGGTATTTTACTTGAGAGAATTTTGCAATCGAGTGAATCTTCCTCTTGGAAGTTTCGTTGGAGAATTGACTAAGATCGTTCGCAACTGACTAAGATGGTTTCGTGTGGTTTCATTGAAAATATGGGGAATCAGTCATCCCATTGTGCACTTATGTAATGATAGAAGAATAGCACAGGCAATTGCTGTCAGAACCACAGCAGTTTGCACAGCATGGTGCTTCACAAGTGGAAGACAACGGTTGGAGTGTGATGTTGAGCAAGCTTGACCTGACTGGGTCCTGAAGTAAAGGAATCGATCATGAATCATGCTCTTTCTCCTCTCTCTGCTGGCCTGCATGGTTTTTGTCCCATTTGTTCCTATTCTTGTATGGTGTTTTTCTCTTATATGTTTTTTGCATTCCTCTGCTGTCTTGCTCAGCATTGTCTCTCTTCATAACTGTACGGATATATATATATATATATATATATATAGATAGAATCACTTCATAATGTAAAAAATGTTTGCAATTTTTTAGTATACAATAAGCAGAGTGACTGTATGATATAGTAAAGCTTATTTATATGCTCAGTTAATTACGAATGTGTCCTGATTGTGTGAACTCAATTTATGAAACCATGCGAATAAACAAATCCTATCAGTACTGTTCAACTGAACTAAAATGTTCAAAAATTGATTGTATTAGTATAAGTTGGAAACTCCTAAAACAGGTTAACTAATTTAACGTTAAATTAGCGTGTACTTGATGCTGCACTACTTGACCTTCTAAGGTGCCCCCTTTGGAAAATGGATCTGGAATTTGTGTTTTAGTTGTACATAAGAAGAGTAGACTTTTTTCTCAACTTGAATAAAAGAATCATAGCCCTCCACCATCGTCGGACTGTGCTTCCACTGAACATATGAAACATCTAATATCGTAATATGGGAGAAAGATGAATAGCCATACCAAAAGCTACACTTATACCCGCTCACCAATTTGTTGAAACGACCCGTTGCTAAACCTGCCAAGAAAGGAAATCGATAAGTTGCACATAATTTCTTAGCTTCATACCGTACAGAACATGAAGGTTCTCCACACTGTCTCCTTATTCGAAGTCGAATATTATTAGACTCCCATCGCAGAAGGATAGGTTAATGAACATATAATGAACCAATAAAAAGATGGGTTTAAAATGGCAAGCGGTACCTGATAATGAGTCGATTTTGAGGAGCCCCCCAGAACCTAAGTGACCTGCTGCTCACCTACATACTGAGCTCCATATCTCGAATGATCTGGCTTAATGATTTGAACATGCGTACTGGTCCTCATTTTTCAAACCAGCAGTGATAAACAATCCGCAAATAATTGGGAAAAAAAGATGCAAGGAGCACCAAAATCAATCTTCGAAACCCAGATCAAATGATGGCATAACGGCAGACGAACAGACGCCTTGAGTTGATCGGAGACGAGCCTGACAAGTGGCTTCCTCCTCTAGTGCATCGAGATCCAACCCAGCAAACACATCGTCTTCTTCTTGCAGATGGAAGCTCAGTTTCCGTTTCCTTGATTCCGAGGATTTCCTTCCGTCATCTGCATCTTCACCGTCTAAAATTGCACATGTTACTGGCGTTGCATCTACACTGTTCGGAGGAACATTCTCTTTACCATCTGCAGGACACTTGAACGGGCGACTTGGGACAGAATTACCATTCCGCTTAGAGCACCCCAGAGGGATTGGTGCAGAATATGAAATCCTCGAAACTGAGGGAGGCTCATTGCTACGCCTTGAAAGTGTTTCTCCAGTGTCAGAAGAGACCAAGGTAATAGAGGTGTTTGCAGTTGGTGTGGTAACCTCAAGATAGCCTCCACCCACAGGTGATTGAGTCAGCAAGGATCGTCTGCACAAGCAAACACATTCATGACTTTATCCAACAAACGGAATCGCAGATGAAATTGAATTGAGTATATCCACACACAAAAGGTTACTACCCCATTCACTTAAAGAACTCATTAGTCCAGATCAATTTCAAGGCCCGATAACCATTACTGATAATGCACAATATAGAATAGTACGAGTTCATCCCGTTTATCTTGGATAACAAGGTCTTTCGAACTGATCAACAAGACAACTGGAAGTGCAAATAGGAATCGCACATTCAATTATATTAGCAACCGTTTATAGCAAACGCCACGAAGTAAGACACAACATAGGTTTGACTAGAACGCAGTACCGATAAACTGCCATCATGTCGATTGAGCCAGAGTGAAGATGCTGAGAGTTGGAAGTATCAATGAAGCTATCTTGTGATTCTTCTTCCCCACTTTCAGTATCTGAGTCGTCAGTTGAGACCGCCTCGTCCGATGATTCCCTATAATACAGGGAAATTGGACGGTGTCAGAAAATGCACACCTCATTATACTTTCAGTTTCACCATAGCAAGCTAGTAGAGCATGAAGTCTGCATATCAACGCGAAATAGTGTTCAATAACGACAAGTGTATGGGGAACGTACTCTGCTTCTTCATCAATGAAAGGATGGACTGCAAATCTTCGTTGCACTTTTCCTGCAGCAGTTCAAACCTTCAACTCAGAAGCCATAATCATAGGTTCATAACTCCTTGATAAGATCGGAATTGCTTAGGCTCCTAAAGATATTAAATTTATGTTAGTACACCTCAGTAGATGTCAATTGACGAAACCAAAGAAAATACCATTTTAGAATGAATACACAAAGACGGAGGTTCATATCCCAGTATAACAAAAAAATCACATGACCTTAAAAGACAAAAATACAGAAATTTAGAAAGCAGATTACCACCTAAGCGTGTATGCTTTTTCGTCGCAACTTGCTTATGCTCAACTTGTTTAGAGCTTCCGCGCATTTTCTTGTTCATTTGATCTAGTTGAGTGGTGCGCACCAAATCACGTGCTTTCTTCAAGCGCTTGAATTTCCGTGACCGATTCTGCCCCGTGGATGGAGTCCCTTTGCTCAAGCTCAAGATGTGCACATCACGGGCAGTTTGTGGATTGCGTGGACTCGTCTCATGCAACAGGATAGGTGGGGTTTGCGGTGTCTTCTGATCTCTAGTTTGAGGCTGAATAAGAGACTGAATAGGTGGTGACTTCTGCTGAGATTGAGGCTGCATAAGAGACTGAACAGGAGATAACTTCTGCTGAGATTGAGGCTGAACAGGTGGTGACCTCTGCTGAGCTTGATGTTGAATAGGTAATGACTTCTGCAGAGATTGAAATTGAACAGTTGGTGACTTCTGCAGATATTGTGGCAGCTGAGTTTGAACTTTCTCCCTGGAATGAAAAGCATTGATCTTGTCTAATTCTGGCATCCCATTATGGCCAACTGCAATGTCATCAAAGTTCAGAGCTTTGGGTTTTGCTGGAGATTGAGACGCTACGTAAGTGTCAAGGCTCAAGTGAGCTTTGTTTTCAACTTCAACAACGTCACTGTTAGTTATAACCGCCCTTGAAACCGACTCCAGCATACGAGGAAGATCACCGGAGGTCTCACATATTCGCTTGGAAGTTGAGGCAATTTCACGACGTAGACTAGGAGGAAGAGGAGGCCGAAGCCTTGATCTATAGGGCGGAGTAGTTTCATGTTTCTTTAAATCCGGGGTCTCTAAAATCGGAGATAATGTGGACACATGCGCTAGGGATGGAACCGGTGCAGGAGAGATGAAACTATCCGCTGCAGTCACTTCTTTCACAGCGACTGAATAAGATCCTGCCATTAAAGTTGCTGCTCTCGGGAGTTTGTCCTCGGGTGTACCCGCTATGAAGAACTCATCATCGTCTTGGGGAGCCTCACGCTGAGGAGACGAGCCCAGGGTTGTCAGCTGGTCATCCGGAACGTTCGTGACTTCTCTCGGTCGCCATTCCGGAGGTGATGCAATCTCAAGCTCGCCTGCTGAGTTTTTATAGACTATTGAAGTGTTGAAAAGGAACTGATGCGAGTGTATTGTAACCGGTAGCACTGTTGAACATTTCCTCATAGTGTCCTTGATCGGAGAAGAATCATTTCTCGGTGTATTCTCTTCAAGAAAGGTTACGCGTCCAGTTGCATTCAAAATATCATTACAAATCACATTCTCGTGTTGTGACGATTTGAGCTCATTAGGAAACGCTTGAGGTCCTCTAAGGTTAGGATCTTCAATATAAATAGCCTCGTTGAAGGGCATTTCTTGATCAACTGGTTCATCTTCATCCAAATTGTCCTCAAAGGTTTTCACAGGAGAATTGACTACAGCAGAACCTGCATGAAGTAGATTAACTTATTAAAACAGATAGAGGCCATACCCAGTATTTGAGCTATGTATTCAACATGAAAGGTAGCACAAGGGGCCTTCTCTGAGGTGCAAATTATACCTGTAGGTATGGCTGCGCCTGTGTCTAGGTTTTGCTGAGCAATACTCAAAGATGCAAACTGTGGAAAAAAAATACAAGGTATGAGAACAGAACATAAAAGCATGTTTGAGAATAGTAAACAGACGAAATTAGCAGTAGAAAGGAGGAAGATACTGACCCCGAGCTGACTGGGAAGACTGTCCTTAGCACTACCAAGAAAACCAGGCTCTTGAAGACTTCGAAGAACATCAATGAACATGCTTACAGTCCGAGTGGAATGTTTCACAGCATGTACAGGGGTTGGAAGGAGTTGGTATTTAGGGAAAGCAATAAGAGACGGTCTCCACGGTTCTGCGCCCGGAGGTAATGCATATTTCCGCAACAATGCTTGTTCTTCTTCAGTAAGCTCGTCTCCTTCTGAGTCAGGAACAGCAACGCCTTCCACAGACTTGTTTTTACCACGAGGCACATACTGCTCGATCTTCATCTCCGTCATTTCAACTTGTGGTTTCACCATGTGGGGAACCTGTACACAACTATATAAGAACTTCGCATAACTTAAAAAATTGGGAGAGAACAAGCATCTGATGAATTCTAGTGAGACAAAGATGCAATGTTTTAATGCATTCTCTAAGAATCGTCTATCCACAGGATTTTCAAAGCCAGATGTGCCAAAAGTTATGTACCTACATAATGAAACATTAATAATGGTTTTTTCCCTCGGATACAATAGTCCTTTAGATTCATGGCAGGTTTCTGTTAATCAGTCTCAAATATAAGGTGAGGGAGATAGTTCAAGAACCATTATTCATTCTTGTTTGTATTAAGAAAAAATTACACGCTCATCTAGAACGTCGAGCAGAAATTTGATCATTTGCAGACATTTGTTTTCGGTATAGGGTGAGTTTATCATGGATGATAGACATCGAGAGTAGATCGCCTGGCATTCAACTATCCATGCTGCATGGAATAACTGCAATAGGTAAACTTTTGGCATTCACCCTCGCTCCAAAACCAAAAGCTGTGTTCAAACGCCGAGATGGAAACAATACCATTCTAGGACTGGGGTGAAAGCTGAAGCTATTAACACCTCCATGCTGCATGTGTTTTCCAAGGGCTTTGTTCTTCGCCTGTTTCTTAAGATAGCCTTGTACCTCTGCCCCTTCACTCGCTAACACAAGTGCTGTCGTTTGTCAAGGTCAAACTAAGTGACAGCGATCAGCACGTCAGAGCATACACTAATTATGCATGATAGAAATTTCTAAATTAAAGTCAATAAGAGAAAATCAAACACAAAATAACTCAAAAAGCTACATAGTAGAAGAGTCTATTCAAAACAGTACGTATTAATAAGGATATCCACTCTTCCATCTCGCTTCCTTCCTGTGCGACCCATTCGCTGAATCATGCGTAGAGGAGATATATTCGCGTCAAAACAAATAACTAGATCCACTTCCATGATATCTAACCCTTCCTCAGCTATGGATGTTGCCACGATTGTATTAAAGCCACCTGATCTAAATTTCTGCGAGTTCCAACACAGAAAATGACCCCGCTTCAGATAGAGTGACAAATACAATTTACCATTTCGCCAGTAACAAAAAGAGGATAAAAATGTCGCTTATTAAGACCGAGTTTCGTTACCTGCAGGACAGCCTGCTGCATCTTCTGAGTTTGTCCTTTTGATGCTTTACCTGGATAAACATGTCCCATGCGTAAGCCTCCAATAACTTCAAATATCAGAGCTAGTTGTCTCAATTTTATTATTTATTCTTAATTTTTTTAATTTGGAAAAGGGGGGGAGTAAATTAAAACAATAATAAATAAATAAATAAATAAGTAGCATTACGCAGCTATTCAAACAGGATATGTTAAATGGAGAGGATTGAACGAGCAGATTCAAGAGCAAACGTCATTTAAGCAAATCCGGTGTTTAAACACCCTGATTACTAATTGCTGTTCGATGAAAGAGAATGAAGCAATGTTAGGTTCAGTTAGCGACATAAACCTGAACTCTGTCCGATAAACTCCATTGCTTTCACAATATGCCCAACTTTCAGCAGAGCTTCAAGGATATCCCTGCGCGCACAAGGCTCTTGGAGTTGAGTACACGCAGCTTAACGAGAGCCAGCTTCAAATAAATGTTGAAACATTTTCAACAATGTAAACAAAGACCAACTGCTGATAATTTGAAAGATTAAGAGATGTACTTGACACTTTCACGAAAGTTGGTAAATATGATCACTCGGGTTGTCAGCGGATCATGGTCACCTATCACCACAGTTTATCAATCATTGAGGTCAGGCGCATTACTCATCCACGATGATTAGGAGTAGTGAGTCAATGATACTAACGTTTTACCTCTTGCTGAATTGTTGAAAAGGCCAAAATAATCAATTTTGACAAAGCAAACCGGGCTGAGGCATTGACATATCAAAATATTAATAAGGATGGATCTTTACGAAAATGCTGAAGAATGATTGCCTCCAACTTGACCAGCTTGGGGCTAGGAGCTCCATGACCAACACTCTCCTGCATCAGATTCTTGATTTCTTGTAGCCTACTATTTCTTGCTAATAACCGCAGTGTCCTGAGAAGACGAGAAATTTTATATATATTAAGAAATGGGACAAGAATGGTGCTGAATAGAAACACAGCCATCTCACATGTTAAAACTGTTACGTGAATAAAAATACAATGGTTGCTACCTGCAAGAATGTAGATTACAGAACACATCACTAAAGTACCAGACGTGGAATTTGAACAAAGCTCCTACCTAAGAAGAAAATGAACAGCGTTTCTGCTTACCCTTCCTGCATCTTAGTCTGAAGCATTTCTAGAGCTGGTCGAACACCATGACTGTGCAGAAGCTTGTAGATGTGATAGAGGGTTATTGCCATACTAAAAAAAGATTCTACCTCCCGATACTGGTGCTGCTGCAACGATTGAGGAGGTGCTTGACGAAACTTATCCCTTGCTGTGATAAATTCAAATGGCGAAAGCTGCATGCAGTCACGTCGTAACATTCGAATGCAATAAGAATTTCAACCTAGTGAGAAAACCCAGAGGAACCGACAAAAATTGAAAGAAACGTACACAACTATTCACGACATTGCAATCAGAATTCTCTCCAAGAGGTACAAGGAAACACTCAGGAAAAGCCTCTGCAAACCTAATACGCTTGAATAAATACAAGAGTAAAAGAGAAATCAGATATCGGTACAGATAAAAAATAAACAAGCACTGGTAAGAATCAGAACGTACCCTTGCAAACTCCCTGCTATAAAAAACTCCCAAGTGATAAAGCTTGTCAACAACAGGCTTTAAAATCTCCAAGTAAATATCCTTGATTTTGTTGGTCTCGGCGTTCATTTTAACCTAAGCACAAAAAAACTGAGATGTCTGAGTAAATCAAAGCAAAAACCAAGTGGCTTCATAAGTGATCTGACAAGATCAACAATCCCACACAACGGTCCCAAGTCAGGTCAACAGTTGAAGAGCTTCAATGTTGACAAAAGTGGCTAAATCCTTTCCCAAAGGCTATAATAATCCCATCTATAGTGGATTAATTGAAATCAATGATAAGTGACCCATAAGAAACTCAACCTTCAACGAACTTATGTATATCGCCAGCTTCCATTAAAAAGGAGATGCAATAACTTTGCCAATATATAAACACCCACAGCAATTTGATCTCTTCTGTACCTGAATAAGTTCCAGTTTCCTATTATGTGTATACTGGCTGACATCAGGATCATTCTCATCTCGGTACTCCAAACATGACATAAGAAGGTTATCCACGACTGCCTGAATGGTAACTTGTTTAGCTGCAAAATCCAAGCGAATCATTGATAAAGATATCTGATTATGTTTTCCATAGAGTTAAAGCATTTCGAGGTAAACATTGGATTTCAAAACTTACAGCCTGGCGTAGCAGTCAAAGCCAATATCCTGAACTTTATATTCCGAGCCAAAAGCTGCATTGAAATAGCCGGATGGAGCATGATATAAGTTTACATGACTAGTAAATAGTGGTTTCTGCGATCTTCAATTCACTGAAAGCGTCTCTAACAAGAAATTTAGAAACATACAAAATCAAAAGGATAAACAATCTGATAAGCCAATGATATTCATATGGTGGTTAACGATGCTTTGAATGAAAAAGCAAACCTCACGGGTGACAACGCAGTAAGAAAAGTTGCCAGTTGCTCGGTGAGCTTCGTCCACAACCAAGCACACTATATCGTTTACTGGACAAGTACCTACCCACCCAGAACGTCACTGGTTTTAGGTGAGTACCGAGCGCATCGTTCAAAACTAAAATCTTCGATTGTTAATCTTGAAGTATCAACAAACGCTAAGAAAACTAGCTTGCTCATTAAGTAAGAACCATATACATAAGCGCTTTGATGTCAGGGTGGCAGCACCTGATTGTATATCTTTCTCTAAACATTGTGGAGTCACATAGAAAACCCTCCTGCTCCGCCACTCTTCTGCTCTTTGTGGCGGACTCATCTGCCCTGTCATATCAATGGCCATCTCCTGCAAAACAACGAACCAAACCATATCTGCCTAAGCAAAAGCTGAGGCTGGAGTATCTGTTTCCGAATCAAGATCAGAAAAATTAATTGACCTACTACTTTTGAAAAAAGGTTACCAAGGTGTCAACAACAAATCGGAATAGCAGAATTCAATACGAAAACTCTCAAAATTGATGTTGGAAAAGAGAATAGAGAATGTACTTGCGGAATACCCATGATGTTATGACAGGCTTCGATCTGCTGCATCACCAAAGGTCGGGATGGTGCTGTGAAGACAATCTTTCCTACAAATTGAATTGAGAATGAGCGAAGCGAGAATGAGCATCTAACTCTGACATAGGACTTTTAGCTGCCTAACTAAAATCTACAGTGTTCAATATTAATGTTCCTCACCCGTCCAGACATTGCAACGCAGCCCACATTAAATAGAGCACAGTCCTCAAACTAACCAGATGTTTGTCAGTATGTAACAAACAAAAGAGGTACTCCCTTGCAGACGATAGCCAATCGTAGCAAAATCAGAACCGAGGAAATCATATCTATCGTTCTTTTAACCACAATTGCTACACCCATCATCCAAAACACCAAATAGAACTTCAATTAACAAAGACTTTTAATCAAGGTGTAATAGTCAAGAGCCAATCATAACACATAAACTATAGGGGTGAGAAAAGTAATACCAGTTGGAAACCACCGAAAGTAATTGTACATGACGACCGCAGCGATGAGAGTTTTGCCAAGTCCAGTTGGCAGAGAAACAAGGGTGTTGGAAAAAAGTGCGGTCTTTGTAATGTTGAATTGATACTCGCGGTATGGTATATTGGCTGAAAATAAAAATAAAAAATAAAAAATAAAAACACGTGACAAGATACAATTCAGACCTAAAGCTTCAACCGAGGCAATGCAAACACACACACATACACACACACACACTCTCTCACAAAAAAAAAAACAAAAAAAAAACAAAACAAAACAAAACAAAAACAAATAAATAAATAAATAAAACCAAAAAAACAAAACAAAACAAACCAAAGTAATTAACATGCACAAACAATTAAGCATAGAATCAAATTGCACCAGGGTAAATCCATGTTGAGGCAGTGGTGTAATCTATGTCACTTGCAAGAGCACTTGCATTCGCCGTGACAATCGCACTCGCGGGAGCGATAATTCTCTGACTCTTCAAACAAACGTCGTCGATCTCTGCCACCGCTGCCTCCCAATCGAAGTCCTGAACACGGAACCCCAATTTCCTCAGCAACCACTCTCCACCACCTCCCCACCCTCACCTACACTCTCGCCTGAACCCCAAAGCCCTAATCCTACCCTCCACTAACACGTACAAAACGCAACAATCACCAATTCCCAGGCCCCTTTTCAACAAAGACTACAAAGGAACATCTCCCGCTGGCTCGTATCCTCACATCGTCGTCGGGCTCTCCCCCAGGAGCCTCCATGTCACACCGCCCTCCTCGTCCTCGTCAGCTACGACCATCGCAAGGTGCACAAGCTCTTCAACCAGCTTGGAGAACCCGACATGAATTGTCGCGAATCCAGAAAAAAGAAGAAAAAAAACAAAATAATGAAAAACTTCACAAAACGAAACCTGACAAACAGAACAGAAACCCTAAAACCAAGCAAGCGCAAACTACAGAGAGTCTTTCCAGAGCTAAACTACTGCGATGCGCAAGCTCTACAATTGTTGGGACGACGGCAACGAGACAATCGAACATTCGATACAAAACGGAATTCTTCGTATTCCTCAGTCTTGGTTTCAGGCGGGAGATGGTGCCCAAGCTTCTCCGTCTCGGTTTTGGGCCAGTGGTTTGAGTCCATCCGCGGATGAATGTTCCAACAATCGTAGGTCCCCGTCGCCGTGCATTTCATTCGTTCTTGTTCCCCTCAACTTGTATACGGCGTATGTGTGTGTATGCATCGATGATGTATATGAATACGCCCGCTGCTCGTATGAGTTGCATGAATACGGTGAGGCTTCACTCTGAAGATTGTCCACTCACAACTTGCAGTTTCAGTCAGTCGAACAAAATTAGAGTGATAATAAACTAAGGGTGTGTATGTATATATGTATGTGTACTAGTACACGCTTCTGATACGATTTTGAAAATACACCCTATGCTGAGAAAAAAAATTGTTTGAATTACAACCAAATTATTCTATATGAAATTGGTATGTTGGGTTTTGGTATGTATGAAAAATTGGCATACATGAAAAAGCCACTCTAAAAATTATCTAATGAAAACAGTGTGTTGAGTTTTGTGTTCCATGTATAGTATTCGACAACTCAATAACGATGAATTTAGACTATTTTATATATATATATATATATATATATACATATACATAATATACAATTATGAGAATGACCATTGAAATTGTAGACATTTATTTTATTTTTGTGACTGATTCGTAAGGATGTAGCGTCTAGTTGTATTATTCAATAAATAAACACTAAGAATTCATAACCGAAAATATAATAGTAACAATAATAATAGTAAAATAACAATAATTAAAAAGCGTGCAGTAATTAGTTTAGGTGCACAAAGAGATGCAATTTCACAGCAGTGCAAATTTGAATTCCATTCTATGGTTGTGGTATATTTAATAAATTTTGAAAGATAGTGCAAGTCATAGTTCTCTGTACAATTACCCATCTGTCAAGTGGATGGGCTTGTGTCTTCATACACCTAAGCAGGCAATTTCAATGATGGGCTGTGAAACACAAATGTCGTTAATTACAACACAAAAAACATTTTCTTATTAAAGAATCACATTAAATTATAACTTTTAATTCAAAAAATGGGTAATTGTAAATTTAAAATCTTGCTCTAGAGGAAATAGTTTGCATTAAAAGAATGCACACTTAAAAAATGAAAGAATGAACAATAATTTTACTTAGAATTCACAAATTCTTACATGATAAATATTCTCTCATGTTTGGTAAATTTTTACATGCTTCTGCGCAATACATGTAGAATGAATCTAATTATTGGAAGCTGAAGCAAAAATAAATAAATAAATAAATTGGAATTTTGTTTTATTGTCATTTGATGCTCAAAATAATTCCTAGAGTTTTGTGGTTGCACAGTTAATAGAAGATAAAATTAAAGTAACACTAAATAGATGCTGAGTATATCAAGTGATACAATTTTTATACCAAGACAGTTAAATATGTAATTCTATTGTCTATATATTGTTGTGTTAGATGATGTCAAACAAGGTATTTCCTTTTCTTTTTATTTATATTTTTAGTTAGCAATAATGTTACCCTTAAATGAAAATCTACTAAATGTTTATATAGATCTATGCTTTTTTATTTTCAATATGTAGATTCTCCCAAATAATACTGAGTTAGATTTTACTTGTTAAATCTTACATAGATAGAGCATATATATGTTGATAGATACATGTGTGTATAGAGCATTTGTGTGTGTATATGTGATTTTCAAAAAAAAAAAAAAAAACTTTCCATTTCAATTTTAATTTCTCAATAGTAAAATTCCAAAGTTTGTTAATAAACCTACCAAGGAATCAAAGAATATTTTTTTGACGAAGTATGTCATGTGTAAATTTATCACAGATAGTTATTGTATATCAGATTTCCACAAAATGTTTATGAATAATTATATATATATATATATATATATATATATATGTTGAAGTTCCATTTTTATATTTTTTAGAAATCCTGGTTTTCTGCTTTTGTTTATGCTTTTGTAATTTCTTTTTTCTTTTTCCAATTCAAAGTTTCACAGTATTGGAAATATTAATATCAATTCTTTTTTGGAAATCATCTTGTAAAGTTTATGTTATATTTGCAAGTAAATTTTGAATTGATTCAAATATAATATTGTTTCGGAATTTCCTATATTTAATTTTAAAAATTATTAATTGATTGTTTATTAGTTTTGTTAGATTTTGACATTGTCAGAACTAAAATTTCATTGTAGTCCCATATATTATTTAGTTTACTCCTGTATGTTTGTTCACTTGTGGAAATGGATGTTTTAGATACATATATATATATATATATATACAAAGCCCTACAAGGTTAAAAATAAACACAGCTTAAATATTCATAGAATCTAAACTTTAATTTTTATGCTTACAAATTGATATATTTTCTTTAAAAACGCAGGTAATTGCTAATATGAAATTACGGTAATGTTTTAGTTTGTTAATATAACTTTTATACCATTCACTTAATTTTGTAATTATTATTAAGTACATATATTTGTGATTTAATGACACTAGTGATAATCGTGGTAATTCTGAGTCTTTCGAACCCCATAATATTAATTTCACTCACTCACTTAATATCTATATCTATTCTTCTCATTCTACAAATATTTATGATTAATTCTTGGATTTTTAGATACTGTAGTTGGTTAAGAAAGATTTTCTCAGCGTGCAGATGTTCGTAGTATAAACACATGCAACATTAGAGAAAAAAACCCATTTTTGCACCTGAGCAATTTTATTTTCTAGCATATAAAAATGATTTTAGCACACAACTTTTTCTTCAATCATACGATATTTACAATCGTTGATGTTTAACTCGAACAAATACTGTTCAGTCATGCATTTGTTGAAAAGCTCTCGATAAAAATCCACCCACACTTGTGTCCAAAAAAGGAAATGATAGTATCTTGTGCCTGAGAATCTTTATGTTATTTTAAACCCAACTCCAAATAGTTATAATTTTTGTTTTTCCTCGCCTTCGGATATGGGACGAGCGCCCAGCGTCGTCGATCGGGGATCGGATCGGACCGCTCAGAGGTCTCTAGCATTTAGGGTTTTGGGGTTTCCTTGAATCGGCACCGTCGTGGTTTTCTCCACAATGTCGACGACCGATGGAGCTATGGTAGAATCTTTTTGACCTTCGATACACTCCCGGGTGAGTATCTACAGGGCGCGAGAATCGACGACCCCTGTCCCCAGCATATAACTGAGCTTCCGGAGGTTGCAGGGTGGGGAGGAGCTGCGAATTGAACAGCCAGGGCGTTAGGAAGAGGAAGAAGTAGAAGTAGGAGAAGGCGTGGTGGTGTTCTTGCTCGCTTTCGACGGAGGTTTAGCCAGCGGACGATGTGTTTGTGATTGGGAGTGAGGTACAGCAGGAGCAGCACAAACTCAAGGCGCGAGAGGAGGAGGAGGCCACGCAGCGAATTGCCCCTACATCTCGCTGCGGGCAGGAATGAGTACCGATTCCGAGTTCCCCCTTGCGACGCCTGTCGAGGACGTCGCGCCAGAGGTGATTGGGAATGGGGTTGGGGATGGTGAGAAGGAGGCCGCGCAGGCCGTGGAGGGTGCCGATGGTGGAAATGGAGATGAGGGTGGTAGTGTTACGGTTGTGAGCGAGACGACGGTGGTCGAGGAGGTTGTGGTGGCCGCCGGAGAGGACAGCGTAAAAGTAGATGAGACAGTGTCGGTGACCGAAGCGGTTACTGTGGTGAAGGAAGAAATGGAGACTGATGGGAACGGCGATGGTAGGAAGCGTATTCGGGATGAAGAAGAGAGCGACGGGGTGAAGAGGGTGAAGTCGGAGGATGGAGAGGCGGATGGGACGGTGGGGGATGAGAGCAAGCCTGTGGAGGCGAAGAAGCTCGGTCCGAAGGTTTTCGAGACCCCTGTCAAGATGTTCAGCTATTTCTACAACTTGCTCCATGATTGGCAATTTAATGTGAACGTGAACAAGGTAGGTTTTTCATGCTCATGAATGCTTTTGTTGTTCTTGCAATTTTCTATGAGACCGAGATATTTTATTAGTTGTTATTGTAGTTCTCTTGCAAGACTTGTGTGTGAAGACCTGGTGGGTTCCTGGTGAGGCCTGCGACATTGTACTGGTAGTGCACACCCCTAAAATCATTGGTTGGTCCTCAAAACGGTGAAATGGTGTGTTATAACGCAGCAATGACCATTGTGGAAAATTAAACTCAGGGTTTGAGAGTCCCAGTATCTAAACATTCTTCATCTCGATTGTTTAGTGGAACTCTTGAGTGTTTCAGTGATGTTTTGTGGATTTTTGGGAATGTGGCTATGGAAGATGTAGCACTCACATCATACGATTTGTGTAATTGTTTCAGTATGAGTATTTGGTTCTCAGTGAGCTCGTCGCTCAAGGCAACCCACAGAAGGTAGGAGATGGAATTGCTGCATTTCAAATCCGTAACCATCCTGAGTGGAAGAGCAGATGCTACTATCTAATTCGCAAAGATGGCTCCGAAGAAGATTTCAGTTATCGAAAGTGCGTCGACGCTTTAATGCCCCTGCCAGCTAATCTCTACAGGTCAAATGGTCAGTTAGACCTTGAGAAACTCTTCCCAGGACAGAGGAACCGCCACCGTGGAGAGCAGAGAGAACAGAATGGGGATAGCCGCGGAGGTGGTAGATGGGACAGAGGAGGTAGAGGAGGAGGAGGAGGAGGTCGTGGATACGGTGGGAGAGGTGGTGGAGGCAGGGGTGGGAGAGGAGGAGGGGGTCGCAGAGGTGGCCGTGGAAGATGGTAACCACTCATGTTATTCAATATGTATGTGCCCTGCATTCGGTGCGTACTGGCATGTGCCAAGTGCATGACTCAAAGAACCTCTTTGCAGCACATATTTGGCTCAATGAGAGAGAGTAGCACAACTTACGATCGATCTGCTCTAAATTTTTGATGAATAGTGAACTTTGGCTTGCGCCGTAACCAACACAGATGCTATATTGCCAGAAGTTGTAGTCTCGTGGCTGGAGATATGCACTGTTAGAAAAATACGTGAAAGGTTGCAGGTGTCGTGTCTATTTTGCGCATCTGCACCAATTGTGCGTAGCATGGTGCAACTGCCTAGTGCCAGCCTCCACTTGTAACCGCAAGGGAGCTCTTTGACATTGCACAAACACATTTTTTTGACAACTAATTGAGTGGCAAGGCAAATCCGTTTCTTTCTATTCGCAATCCTGGAAAGCATTCTGCATTATGTACTTGATAGTATGCTGGCTTTGTTGTATAACAGTGAGTCGTGAAGAAGTGTTTGTAAAGATAAATTGATTGTCATTCCGATATTCATCAGTTATCGGTCCAGATTTGCGAGTGCCCACTCTCATGTTTCTAAGAATAGTGTCAGTTCAACTTGATTCAATCAATTATGAGAAGCATAAAACTTCTTATTTTTTAATGGTCATGTAGAGCAGATCTTAACAAGGGGACTTTCATGACCTACATGCATTTTTCAGATAAAAAGCGAAGATGTATTACAGTTCATCTTTTTCTATTAGGGCCTTGAGACTAATTTTTCCAAGTATAAAGTCAACTTAGAAGGGCTGCTCAAGTTCAACAAATCAAAGGATTTAAAATTTGAGGCATTTCACCTTGTTCTACAATTATAAAGTCTTCCAATAGTTGACAGACTTTTAAAAAAAATGTATTATATTAGATGTACTAGATTTAATAATAAAAATTAAGTGAAAATAAAGCTGGTAAAGTCATTAGATAAGTTAAGTAACACTAGTTGATAATTACATACACACATACATATATAAGTGAAAAAATAAAAGTTAGTGTCTAATGATTTAAAATATTGTAATAACTAAGTAGAGGAAATTTTACCTATGTTGGCTATGTCATAATAGGATATGGGGGTTAGGAAACAAGTTACTAGTGTTGAGCCATAATTGTTGAAGTTACAAAGTCCACTAATTGTTTTAAGCAAAATTTGTTCTTAATTAGTGGAAGATGTTGAGACCCAATACCTACAATTTATTATTAAATAACATTAAATATGGAGTTTTTTATTTTTTATTTTAATAGTGGCAAGCATTTGCTTTCAATGACACATATTATTGTAAATGTATAAGTAAATTATTGGTGTTAGGTATATGCAAAGTTTTGACAAATTCTCATTATTAACAAGTTATGAGTAAGCAACATTTTTTCACCAAGTCAATCTAAAGTCTTGGCATGAGTGCTTTGACATGGCATGCGAAAGATGCTTTAAATGTTATTAATTGTACTAATAAAAAAATACAGATTAAGAAAAATTGCCAAACTTATTAAAATAAAAGTTGCAATTTTCAGCTAGTATTTTTAGAATATTTAGCAAAATTAATTTAAGGAAAATTAAAGGTTTTTACTCAAAGTAATATTTTAGATCTTTAAAGAATCATAGTACAACACTTTGCTAATCATTTCAAGCAATTTCAACCACTTTAAAAAATTGTAATAATTAGGACAAATAATTGATCAAACATAAACAAAAAATATTAGATTTTTTTTTTTTTTTTTTGGCTTTAGCGAATCTACTAATAGATCATATAATAAGATAATTTATTTAAAGAACTAAAAAATGGTAGAAAATACAATCCAAGAAGAAATACTCTAATTTTGATTTTAACTTCAAATATATTGTAGCTCATAACAATATAGAGATTAAATCGAAGAATAATATTTAACATAAAAGTAATAAAAATTAAAAATTAAATATAAAAACACAATTAATTTTTTTAAAAAAAGAATCATCTAAATATTTTCCAAAAAATTGATTATATTTTAACCTATTATATTCTATAATATTACTACTATTACTTCTAATAATGAATATTTAATTAAGGATTGTACATAATTATGAATAATATGTTTTATATTATATATTTTTTATTAAATAAATATTAATAAATGATATAACTTTAAAAAAATAATTATTTTTAATACTAAATTGGATTTATGGTAAATAAATTTAGTAGTGAGTTAGGTGGAATTGACATGTAAGGTAGGAAGAAGTTTAAATAAAATTCCTAACTCCTACTATAGTTGGTAGTTTGAGAATCTAAAGATGGTTATTTTAAAGTAAAAATTAATTTGAATAAAGAGCTTAAAATTTTTACATATAAAAACTAAAATCATAAGTGATTTTAAATACTTAATTCAATCAGATAAAAAATAATTTATTATTAATCTTTTAATCTGATTAATGTAATGAACATTAAACCATGATTGCTTTGGTAAAATAGAAATTAAAAAGTAAAACTTAAAAAAAACATAATATCTATTATAAAAAAAAAAAAAAAAAATTGAATACTTCAAAAATTATAAAAAGAAATAAATAGATTTATATACATAAAAAAATCTTACTTGGCTTTTTTAACTTATCTTCGTAATAAAGAAATGAAATAGTCTTCTAATTTATTATTAATAAGCTTTCTAAGTATATAATAGATAATACTAATAAGATCGAAGAGCTCAATAAACTATATAACTTTATACAATTATTATTTTTATTTTTAGATTGTACATATTCTATAGTAAGGTAAAAATAAAGACTAATACGTAAAATAAATGATAAGCATAATGAATTTGTGGTATAATTTTTTTTTGAATATACCATAATATATATATATCTTAATATTAAAATTATTAGTACATATATAATTTAAATATTTTTTTCTTTGAAAATTTAACATTTTAATTTACAAAGATTGATGATGCATAATGAAAAATGTTAGAATTTGTAGATATAATATACTATATTATTAATGACCAATATTTGTAAAAAAATAAGAATAGTAATTCGAATTAATAAATTATAAAATTTTATTTATTTTTATTTTAAATTAATAAATATATATTTTTATTTAATTAGAAATTTCTAAATTATTTTAATAATTATAAGATAACATTTTAGTTTATCTTATAACAAAAAAAATTATATATATATATATATATATATATATATATATATATATATTTAATTTTTCATATAATTTAAAGTATTTTTTTAATAAAATAAGATAAAATAAGTATATTATTTAAATGATTATAAAATATTTAATGCCAACAACTTTATTAAGTTTTTGTTATGGATATATATATAAAAGACTTAGATAAAAAGTATTAAGTAGAAGATAAATATAGGTAGATTTGCTAATATCTTGTGGAAAAGCTTCTTAAAAACATTTATAGATGCAGATTTGATTTTATATGTGTTTGTTGTTGATTGATAGGTTAGAAACTTGGACAACAAGTTGACCACATATTGTATATGTTTGCAACTTGTATAAGTTGGCTATGTAGCACACATGTGGAAAACTTGTCTTGCAAGTTAGACATGTGTATCACAAGTTGGACATGTGTTGGAGGTCCAATAGAACATTGTTATGTAACTCCTAGTTAGATAATATATATGGAAGCAAGAGTGGATTTTTCTTCACCCTTGTCAACATTTTTTTTTTTTTTTTTTTTTTTTGTTTTGTTTTAATCTTGTTTTAATTTTTTTTAATCTTGTCTTTAGTCTTCTTGTTTTTGGCAATAGCCATTCTAATCTTGATCTTATACCATCTTTGAGTGACTATGTACTCTTTTTGAGTGACACAAGAATGTATTGATCTTTCAGTCCTTAGTGATTCATATTCTTGATAGTTTTGTGACATTAATGGATTCTACAAAAAATAAATATAATTAAATTAATCCATTTAATATATAGTCCAAATAATTTAATCACTATCCAATAATAATTATTTATTTTGTGCTACAAAAATTATTTATTGAAAAATAGAAGATTAAATGTTCATTTTTTTGTAGTTTTAATTTTACTAGCTAGTATAGCAAAAGATAATGCTTAAAAAAATAGAACCATAATTGGATGTTTCAAAATATACTTTGGAAATGTTCTAAAATTTTACAAATCAAACAACCATTCATATTATTACATTACTTCACTTGCAAAGTTGTTGACATGAATTGTAGAAATGGTACCAAATATAGCTTTAAAATTGATATACTTCAACTATGACATAAATATTTAGAGTGGCTTAAAAGCTGTCTATACAACCTTCTATTAAGAAAGAATTAAAAGAATTACATGCTATTGTTGTGTCAAATACATTAAACTTATAACATAGAAGTGTTATCCATAATTTTTCATGTGTTATGCAAAGAATTAAAAAAAAAAATGTTGCTACTTCTACCCTAATTTTTGCTACTGCCACCACAATTTGCCATCTATCACATACCACTTTGATTTTTTTTTAGTGCCATCCCAACTTTTCATCTATTACAAGCATGGTTTTTACTAATGCTATTACAACTTGCCTTAAACTTGAGTTATACACCATGAGGCACTCTTTTTAACCACCAAAATTGTTACCAAAGATGATTGTGCTAACTTATTACTCTGAATTATTTCCATCAACCTCCATTTGTGAAGAGAGGGGTGGATGGGTGACCAATATCATGAATGTATGAAATGAATGACAATAAGAATATTTGAAAGAATCATACCAAATCATTAGAGATTGTGCATCAAACATGTAGCATCCCACTTTTGTAGGAAATCCTGATTTTACATAAAATAAAACGTAAGTTTGTAAATGAAAACTTAGAAAAAACTTCAAAAAATATTGTGATATCATTGCATATTCTGCATTCTAGAATAATGTTTTGGTTTGGAATATAACTTTCAATATAATTGAACATTTAAATAATGTACAACTCATAAGATTTATATCATTAATAGCTTTTTGTGCATTTCATTAGTTAGCTCAGTTTAGTGTGTGAATTGGGATAAAATATTTAAATCATAGATTTAAGTAGGGAATTTTTAGACAAGATTTCTCAACAGGGCCAGCAAAGAAGAAGAAAAAGAAACAAAAAACAACATCCCATTCTCAACATAAATTGATTAGAAACAAAAGTGGTGCAAAAGGAGACACCATCGAGTTCATATTCACATCTGAACACAAGTCTAGAAATGGCGGGCTACTAAGACGGTTGATGCAATCTAAACGAGACCGGACTACAACGAACGAGTCCCACAGTAGATTATGAAAACTACATGCAATTTGGATGAAAGGCACCACAAGCAATCAGCCTCCAAGGCAGGTCTTGATATGTTCTAGTCGGCCTCAAGTTCACGTCCAAATTGTTCCAACCTTGATTCTTCCTCCGCAACATCCCGGACCAGAGCGTAATTTACAGTTCCTGGGTCTTCAAAAGCCTCGATTTGCTTTCCACCAAACCTTCATCCACGTAATATAACAATCAATGAGAAAATACAAGGATATGCTCTATAAAAAGTCCTAATATGTGCAAGGACAAATGGTAACAGTAAAAAAAAAGAAAAAAGAAATATTAAAAGCATTGCTGAAAGAACGATAGCAGCTATGCGGAAATACAGTCATGCGCACTCGCTTTGTTTGAATTCTACACGAGAATCGGGTAACAAGGAATGTACACTTACCAGCGACCGTTCATAATTTCAATGCACTTCAAGCCAGCTGTTTTGTCTTTAAACTTCACCATGACCACCCCCTCTGGATGATTCTCGTAAACCTGATTCGACAACCAATAGAACGCAGCTGGAAATTATTCCATGGAGACCAAGAAAATCAACCTCAAACACAAACCAAGTGATCGCTACATTCTGTCACTTGCCATCAAAGTGCACATTTGGTATTGATACATATGTGAAACATCACAAATAAACACCAAATATTTTCTTTTCCCACAAAACTTTCATGATTCGAAGCCAAGCTCTGGACTCTAGCCCGTTCAAACTACACTCAACCGCATGACGTCTATAACATAAACCGTGCCTGAACAAATTGAATCTCTCATAGATAAGATAGGTCCACAAGTATGAGGAGTTTACTCTTAGTCTCTCAATCGGTCCAATTTTGGTGCATTCAGTCATCACATCCTCCTCCACCTCAGGCAACAAACTTGGATCAGCCTGTACAAAATCAGGGGTCCCAAAGCGCCTGTTAAAATATGGTTAAAGACGAGGTCATTCAAAACAGTCTATTATTCTTTGGTAAGCGCGGTGCGAAGTAGAATTTAATAGCTTCTAATAACAACATAAGATGGACGTTAGCTTGTTCACCAGGAGCTCTGAGCGTGTGAACATGTGCTTGAGAATCACAGTCATGGGTTCCAATTTCTTCTTGTCATCAAAACCTCCTGAAGCGCACATGAAAACAGAAATCAGTAAGCAAAGTTGTCTCATGATGAATTCGAGATATTTGGTTCACCCTGGAACAACGATAACGATGGTTTCATCATCATCCATCCAAGTCTCCCTTCTTGATTGGCAAGAGAAAACCGATATAATCAAATTACAATTAATGAGAAGAAGAGGATGCAACCATCTCCAATCAATGCATTTAAGCAGGCTGGAGTGCATTGCAATACGGACTCTAGCACCATGAATGAGGAAAGAATGGAGTAAATTGTAAATACCCCAGCCAAGTGCCTTTTGTTCCTGTTGTTTCAGCTTCTTTTTCTTTTGTTTATTTTGCTGCTTCTTCATGAATACTTCCCCTGCACAAAATCATCGGCCTGACTGATAACTCGAATTCAACATAGCACAAATAGAATCTAAATTAATTCGAAACATACATATAAGAGTATTACCCAGAACAAATTTCAAATCAAGAGAGAGGAGTCAGCTTCGGTGCTAACATATAGCAAGAAAAACAACACATTAATAACAACACCCATTACCAAGTTGTGAGGGACTTCTGGCTCGCAATACATATACATTGTTAAAGGCTCGGTGAGTATGCTCAGTAATTTACCGATTTCAAAATTATGACTACTATAGGAAGTGCAGAAACGACTATGAACAAGAGTTGGACAAACTTCGGGACTATGAAAAACACAAAACAACGTACCCTTTTGCTCAAACTTCGCTCGAGTCACAGACATGATTGGGCCAACCCCAGGTCTCAAAGATGTTCCATCAAGAATACTCAGTGCTAAGTCTACTGATGGCTCCTGTTTGCATGAACCCCCTAAAAAGCATGAGCAAAAATACAAAATTGGAGGCAACAATCGATACAGCAGAGATCATATTTAGGGCCCATCTTAAAATCATTGTTCGAATTGCTGAACGGTTGCACTTCCAGGATAACCATGTCTATACACTAGAATAGGGCATTAAAAGGGTCTCACCTTGAGATATGTGACTAGGCCGTCACCTTTCTGTTTTCCTGTAGCTTTATCAACATAAAGTTTAATTCGCGGTTTCCTAGTGTCAGGATCCTGCCACCAGTAAATGAGCACATCAACTTAGAGAAAAAAATCACAACAACAAAGAATAAATCCATCAAAACACAATTTTTCTGCTCGGAAGGTCAAGGTTACAATGTAACAACTAAAATAATATTACAGATAGAAAAGCCTCAAACAGGATAGGTCCACAGAAAATCAAGGATATGAACTAACCTCCTTGATAACGCCACATTTGGAGAAAACTTCAACGACCTGCAGAAAAACAACAAAGAATAATTAAGAAGCCAACGAACAGGTTGAACATCTAGTAGAAAAGCACGTGATCACGTTACAAACAAATCTTGTAAGATCCAACTTAACAAGGATCACGGACGAAGGTCGTAGATGAGATTTCAACAAGAAAGTACCTCATCCATAGTTGCATCTTCAGGGAGGCCATCAATATACACGTGCGTATTGACCTTGAGATCAAACCAGGCTTCCGGTTCCTTTTGTGCTTCCTGAGTATCATGACAAATTACTCACTAAATGAGCAACTGTTGAAATACTAATTTGCGTATTCTTATTCCTGGCTCCAAAACTTAAGGCAACGTGAAAACTACATGCAAACAACTATCCTTTTCCCACAGACTTAACGCTAGGACGAGTAAGAATAAATAAAGTTAGAGCCATCTTGACGAACGACAAAAACCCAGCCACACATTTCTAAAGTTGTAATCTGCACGATTTCGGAACTTGCTTGCGAGCAGAGTAAATCAGAATCTAATAAAGAAAGCTTCTTTGTTTCATTAGAGATGTGAGAAAACATCACTAAACACTACATGGAGGACCAATGTCAGGACGCAATTAAACAGCACAAATACTGCACAGCAGCTAATAATGCCTTCTCACGCCACAAGAAAGTCCATCAAAAGGCTGGTGATTCAGATGCCTTAATGCGAATGAAGTACCTTCTTAACTGCCTCTTTGGTATCGTCAACTTTCCGCTTACCACCAGTTTTAAGGTCCACTGTCTTGGCAGGAATATTTGCTACTTCGTCTTCGACGTCATCATCAGTTTGCAGTATACTAGGTATCACAGCAGGAAGCTCTGGAAATACTTCTTCCTCTTGTACGAATGTCATATCATCTGCTCCATAAGCAGGTAGCTCATGAATGTTCTCCTGCACAATCCAAACTGTTACCAACCATAACTATGAAAAAAGACAAAACTTTAACAGATTATCATGACCAGTTCCGGCTACAATACACTGAAGACGTGGTGAATAACAAAGAAATTTCATGAGCCTGCGTGTTCTCCTTGATTCTAATGTGACTCGCTGAAGTGACTCTTTAAAAATTGTTTGAGAGCAATAATCGTGGAAAGAACACATGTAGCTCAACTAGAATGCAATACTAAGGGATTAAATAGAACCTACTTGTGGGATCCAGGCATGACGACCATGGTCCCATCTGTATACAGTCCCATCATCGTCAGTAAACTCTTGCTCGTTTTCTGGAGCGCTTGCTTCTTCTGCTTGCTCCACCGCGGCCACAACTGGCTCTTCTGTAAACTCAACCTGCTTCCGAAAATCCTTGTGATATCTGTGTGACTTGCCAGCTTTCATGGCCTCCGCCTCTTCCTCAGCAAGTCGTATCTCCTCTTGCCATCGTAAGTAGTCATCATCCACATCTGCTGTAGCTGCTGCTTGGCCATTTGCGCCCACGTCTTCCCCGTTCTGCGCCATCACTGGAATTGGGCCAGGACCTCCAGTATTTTCTGACGCTAAAAACAAAAAAAGATGAGCGGGTTGTCAAAAGGTTTGGAACTGCGTAACCACAAAGGTGCGCAACAACCAGTAATTTTCCACGATTACGAGACGTAGATACAGGTGTATTTTTCCCCTTGAATAGCCTCTGGAAAGGATGCATACTCCTCAGTTGGCTCAGCACCTAGCGATAGAATGCATGCAAGCACATAGATCCCAGTAACACAAACTCCCAAACCGAGAGGTAGCCATGTCCGCAACAAGCAATCCTCGCTCGCCTGCGTTCCCACTCACCACAACCTTCACGACTTCCTGAGCCGTTCAGAAACGCAGGAGAACATACAATCAGGAAAAGAAAAGAAAAGAGAAAAGAGAAAAGAAAACTCCATCACTCACAACAACGATTGCAGAGGTCTTGTAAACGATATCAATTTCCCAACACCATTCCTGTTGCGCCCGTCATGTCCGCTCAACTCCCTCACAATGACGCTGGCTACATGATTCCCTACTCCGCCCAGTTCTCGCTCCAGCGAGACAACAAGTTTTGAAACGGATACGAGTCACACATACATGTCCATGGCAACTACTTGCACTTCACCTGCACGCGAAATGGCGATTCTGCATCACGAAGATCGATGAGCACGGATGGCACGCTGGTTCAGGGGACTAATAGTGAGCAGATCGAGGCGTTATTATCGCCACAAAATTCTAGATCATCAGCTAATCCAAGAGCCTAAACTACTAGAAATTGGAAACAGATAGAAACCTTAGAATTCACAGTCACTCACGCTGCCTCAGGCTCTCCCGAACACAGCCATATTGGGAATCGAACTGGAAGATGAGGTTATTCTCGTTAGGTTTTGGGCTCTGCGCAGAGAAAAGCAGAGCTCGGGGAGAGCCAAACCCAAACCCTAGTTTCAGCTCGACATCCCCACAAGATTTCACTCTCCTCTACAAGCATCTACGTTCTCATCTTCCGGGAACGCGTGCGCATATCATCTCCCGCGTTCATCCTCCTCGACTGTAATGGATGAAACACCCCATCCTCTTCCACTCTTCTGTTAATATTTTCAATTGTTACTTTTAATTAAATTTTTTCTTGAAATTTGTGACTATAAAATGTGATTTTAAATTTAATATAATTTAAATATTCTCAAATAATTTTAAAAAATTATTTTCTTAAAATAAAATATAAAATTTAGGAGGCAATTGAACATATGAAAATAATTCTTTTTGTCTTTTGGTATTTCTTTGTGTGTGCAAGTGTTAAATATTTATTTGATATATCATTTAATATTAATATTTAATATTATCGATATTTTAACCATATAATAAAAAAATCAAAGTAAAGTAAAATATAACTTGAAATAATATAAAAGGGATAAAATTTTTAAATTTATCATCTTCATATGTTCATATATTTTAATATACAATGCATAGAAGTTTTGTAGTGTAGTATATATACACATGCTCTCTTCTTATATATATATATATATATATATATATACAATATTACCTCTTGTAAGTTTTATGATTGATTTACCTCCCGAAATATAACTTATAGGAGATTAAAACATACTAGGTGTAACCAAAAGCATGAATATGCTCATGTGTCTATTTATTGCTAGTCCAAGCTTAGATGATCAAGCTTATATTGATGCAACGATGTTTGTTATGTGTGCCTACATTGTGATTTATGATTTTTGGAATGTGTTCAATATGGATGAAATGAGATTGTTTGATAGTATGGTGCCAAACCAAACCATCACTCAACAAAAAAAATTCAACTACAAGAAAGAAACTACATATATTACCATTGCATTCACAATTAATGCTGATATAATCTACAAATTTCCACCATTTTTTTATTAGCCATGTCTACAAGTCCCGTTTCTTCAACTATTATACATGCAAATAACGAAGCATGGATGATTGAGGTTTTATTTTCTAAAAATGGTCAAAAATCTCAACAAAGAGATAGGGATGGCATGTTGATGGATCCTACTCTTCATAGATAATGCACTATCATACATTACAAATGACCAAATTTCTTCTAATATGGATATTTGTATTCTTCCTCCAAATGCAACTTCTAAGATCTATCTAATGGATGCTAGAATCAATAAGGCATTCAAGCAACACTACCAAAGCTTTTATTTGTAGAATGCATTTAACCCAGCTGAATAAAATGATATCAACTTATATAAAGCCAATTAATTGAAGGCAATATAGTTGTCATTTGCAGCTTGGATAGAAATATTTCCAACAACAATATAAAATTATGTCTAGCATATTGAATTGTTTAAGCAAGCATCCAAAGTCAAAGAAAATAATGGTGAAGAAGAACTAGTAGATATAATTTGCAGTCTTCTATTACAAAATCTAATACCAATAAAAAACTTACTTAATCCAATTGAAGAAAATAATGCATATATGAAGCTATATGATTACAAAATTATTGAACTTATTTATTATAAAGAAGCAAAGGAAAGCAAAGGTGTTGACAATGCCATCAAAGAAGATTGTGCATCAGCATTGTTCATGTGCATGGAGAAGTTGCATTGTCTTTATGTGATTATCTCCATGTTGGATATTGGAGATATGGGTGAATATACTACTCACAAGATCCTTTGCAACATTTAGCTAAAGCTACATACAAAAGCCCTCCAACAAAGCACATTGGATTCTTGCCTAAGCTAGATTCTTTATTATTTATATCATCCACAAAGTTATAGTCTTTTGTTTTTTTCTTCCTTAATCATAACTAATAACTTATTAGAATTATAACTTAACTGTAGTGTAACCAAGTTGGTTCTTCAATTTTTCAAAACTTATTGAGATTATAACATATTGAGAGTTAACTTATGAGAGGTAGTATTGTATATATATCTTACATTTTGATAGAGTAATAATTTGATTCTAACTTTCAATAATCTTAAAATAATACAACTTAAGTATTATACTATAAATAAGTCTTTTATATTATAATAAAACTATTACATTTTTTTTAAAAATATTTAAAATCATAATTTATATTTTTTATTTAATATATAATTTTTTATATAATAATACTAATATATATAAAGTTATTTTTATACTTACATATAATTTAAATATTTCTAAAAATTTGGTATAATATACAAACTTACATAGATATTTATAAAATTGACTAAGTCTTTTAATTTAAGATTAATTATAAACTTCAAAAAATAAGTGATATTATTAAGAGTAATTTTTGAAGAAAGTATCATAAAAAATAGATTGTGCATCTATACTTAAACAAACTGCTTATAATATACAATATCAAAAGCCAAAGTACTTGAGACTATTCAAGAAAATAAAATAAAATAGAAAGAACCATATACATGTAATAGTGTATTAGTTTGATCAAACTAAAAGTAGTAAGGAAAAAAATTATGTGTAATTATACTTATTTGTGTATAATCATAGCACAACAATTGATCTATTCAAATTATGCTTATAAAAAATAGAATTATTGTATGATTACAAAACACATTATGAATTGCTGAAATTTAAGAAATGAAAAAAAATTAGAATCCTAAAATTCCTAATTTCTATATTAAGTGTTGGAAATCGATCCCATCAAAAACTTGTCAAATTAGGTATTAATTTTTTTTTAACAAGATTCTATCAGTTTTTAAGGTTTAGAAGAGAAATTAATTAAAAATGATAAAGAAGTGCAATAAAATATTAATCAAAGTATTAATCATATAAAATTAAATAGATTTATGAAATTAAAATAAAGAAGCCAAAATAGCCTTTTTACAACCTAGTTTTTTAAAGATTTAAAGATTACTTGATAATGCTTTTAGAATCAATAGATTAAATAATGACCACATCTATTTATATAATTTATATTATTCATGTGCATCTTTGGAAGCAATATAGGATCAAGTTTTGGAAAACTTGTAAAAATATTTTTGCACTTTTTATGTGCAATAATTATCTACCATCACATTAGAAGTATGTCGCTAGTTAAAATTATACATCTTGTAGTAAGTAAAATTTATTTTTACGACAAATATTTTAAAAATCAATTAAAATTTATTTTACATAATATTTATAAAGAAGTATATAGTATAAATCTTAATTCAAGCAATTTTTTAAGTTTGGAATAAAAACCTTTTTGCTGATTATTTCAAATAACATCATAGAAAAAATATTTAAAGGTAAAATATCCGAAAATTTCTTTAATAAATGTTGATAAAGAAATTTCATCTAAAGAAGAAAATGCCATTTTTTGTGTATTTGATGGTCTTTCATCAAGATCAAGGATATACATGGTACATAAAATCTTCTAATATATCATGTTATATTATTATATGAAGAATATGATTTAATTATATCTTATCATGAAATTAAAGTTATAAAATAAAACATCAAAAATAATGAAGAAAAATAAGAATCAAAGAATAGAATAAGTATAATAAAAGAATTCAAGTGTGTACAACTTATTATTCAATATATTGCTAATATTTGTTTCAGCCAAAAGATGATTATATTTATTGGTATAGGATTTTTTTAATTATATGTAATTGATTAATATTCTAAATAAATTATTTATAAATTTATAAATTTAAATCGAACTATTCTACTAATTATTCTTATTTATATTAAAAAAAATTAACTACTTATAAATGGATAGTGATTTAATTGAGACAAGAAGATATTTATTATTATATTTTTTTAAGTAATAATAAGTATTAACACAAATAATGTTGTTATGCTATAAAATTAATTTAATTGTATAGTAAGTTAAATATTTTTTTTTACTTTTATATGTAACTCACAATGACTAAAACTTTTAGAAGTATTATTTAGAGACCACATACATCTATATTGTTTTAATTTGATTACTTGAGAACTAAAATAATTATTGATAACATAATTTTTTTAATGATGGATCATAGGATTATTGACCAATCTGTTTTGCATATCTTTATTTTTTAATTTTAAAAATATTATTTTTAGTATACTTATCTTTTAATAATTCTTTAAGAAATGACAAAGTGAATGATCTATCTTCTTATGACTCAATTCTTATAGTAGAAATTACTAATTTTAAGACTCAATCTTATACTACAATGATAGAATACATGGTTTCTTAGCCTTGCAAACATTTAAATTTGATGTTCTATACATGAAAAATTGTGCATATAAAAAATATATTAAAAAATATTTTTAAAATTTATTTTAAAAATAACAATAAATATCTATATTATCAAATAACTTTAGATATTGAAAGAATAAATTAAAAAAAAATAGGCAGTATCTTATAATTATGTTATTGACCAAATATTTTACTACCAAAATAACATTGATTTAATCTATATAGTAGGTGTAGTAATTTTTTATAAGAATTTCTAAAAATAAAATTATTTTAAAAAATATTAATAAAATTTCATATAAAAAATATATTATAAATATATTTTATAATATAATATAAATAAAATTAAATAAAATTTAAATATATACTTTGTTTCATTATCAAAAACATGTGAAAAGTTTTTTTTTTTGAACTTATATAATAAAAGATATATGATTTAATAATTTCAAGTTCATCTTTTAAATCATTATATAATATATCATGATTTTTATAGGTATTCAAAAGAAGTCATAAAAAAATAATACCAAAGAATAATTACTTAAATATTTGAAACTATTAAATAATCATAAGTTAAAAGTCTTAACACTTAGCATCAGTGTTAAGGATAAGAACTCGATGAAAGAAAATAAGCAAGTGAGACTCTCTCAAAGAAATATGAAAAAATAAAAATAGAGAAATATGTATATTAAAAAAGAAACTAAAATGGGTATTGTCAAAAGACAAGGAAACTAGAAACTCTTGAAACTAGATTAGAAGCAAGAAATGAGTTGACAAGAGTGAAGAAGGCTTT